TGAACTGGAAATCTCATTCAACACTGCTATCCCCCTTTGGGAAATTTTCCCAAAAGAAGTGAAAACACATCATAGTAATATATGTACACTTATGTTCATAGCAGCACAATCCAAATCTTGGAAACAACCAAGATGCCCATCACCTGAGGAATGTATGAAAAAGATGGGGTATTTTTATACAACACAGTATTACTCAGCTATAAAGAATGATAAACTTGAAGGCTTCATATATAAGTGGATGCAACTTGAAGATATACTCATAAGTGAAATAAACCAGACCCACATGTGTAAATATCGTATTGTCTCCCTAGTGTAAGAACTCAAAAGAATAAATAAAAATTGAACGGTATAACACAGTTAAATGGAAAGCGAGAACCTAAGGATTAAACAATGAAGAGAGAGCAAGGTGAAAAGTTAGGAAATATGGCAGGGGTAAAACCATACATTTATATAAATAAGACAGTTAAGCCAATGGTCCTAAGATTCTCCACCAGGTTTTTGAAAATAGCAGTCAATGGATACAATTCTCACCCTGACTAGCTATATATGTTGCTATCTGTGAACTAAGCAACTACACTGAGGATACCAATGTGTAATACTAAAACCATGCTTGCAACACCTATCATTCTGGTCTTCTAAATGTGTACTGCTTCTTAAGTATATGCAAGATATGTCATATCAATTATTGTCAGACTCTCTTTAAAGTAAATGTTTGTTTAAAAAAAAAGTAATAAAAGAAAAGACAAGAAAAAAACTGTCATTGGATTATCCTGCAACAATGTTGCATATGGTCTGATCTCTAAATTTCTGTGTAAAAATGTGTAATTGTGGGTTTCTTTACATTCTATAGAGATTCAAAGTTTACAATACCCATGGTTGTTGGAAAATGCAGTTCCATGTTATCTAAGGTATTTGATATTCAGACAGATAGTGAAGACATTAAAAGTGCACGTGCAGCAATCTCAGTGAACACTTTGATCAAAGTTACCTAAGCAGCAGTTCACCACTCTAATTAATGTCTGGAAGCTAATGGTGATCACTTTGAACACTTTTTGCTCAAAGGTAACTTGTATTAATCTCATAATGCCTCAATAACTTTACTATCAAAATATTTATACAAGATTTTCTTTTCCCGAAGAGTAGGTTCATTTTTTATACACTCTACCTATCAAAAAGTCTAGGGCAGGCCTGACAACTCAATGGACTAAAACGCCTGAGTAGGCAGAGTGAGGCAGCCAGGGTTCGATCTCCAGCGTGCAGTGCCCGCCCCACCCACGGGGAACACAGAGAGAGTGACTGAGACTGGGCATGGTGTCCCATGCCTGTAATCCCAGCATTTGGGAGGCTGAAAACAGGAGAATCACTATGAGTCCTATCTATGCAGTGAGACCCTGCACACCCTGTCCTAAATACAGGGGGAAAAAAAAAAAAATCTAAGTAAGTATAAAGATAAACAAGTAATAAAAAAAATGTGGAAAAATGAGGAATATTAGCATGAACAGAGAAATTAAAAAAAGAATGTGGATGAAACTGTCTAAGAAGAAAATGAGAAAAAAGGATAGCTTATGCTAACTCTTCGGGAAATGCCAATAATTTCAGTATACAAAGATAATTCTGGGGGCTAGGGA